AAAGGTTATGCCTTTGTGTCTATAGAAGCAAAAAGCTATGGATTCCTTCAAAATTAAAAAGGTCAGGTTTGTCTGTAGACATGAAGGGAAAAAACAAAAACTATAGGACAGGAGATGTATAGTCTGATCCCCCAACATGAAAACAGCTCTGAGACCGGATGAGACATGATAAATCTTGTTGGTTACGGAGTCCTCATGACTTATTATTACATGTCATTCATTCATATAGTATGGTTGGAGATTTATATTACAGATGGGTTATGCAGTCCCAACGGGCTTATAAAGTTGACAGATGCCTTTAACCTGCTCAAATATAAAACATCAAATCATCTTTAGCTGACTTGTGCACACCGCACATTCCATACTTGTGCTAATGCAGATATCTATGTTACCTTTAAACGTTTGTGTGTTTCAGATAAAGAAAGGTCCAGGCACCAGTGAAGACAAGTAGCCCAGGTCATCTCAGAATGACAGTTGCAGTGTGCTCAAACATCTGCATTCAGCACAGCTTCAAAGCTGCTACCCGATGTAGTCCAGCTTCACAGACCATTCCAGCCAGGTCTTCAGATAAGCTCTGCACTCTCCCATCACAGAGAGAACAAACAACAAATGATACAGATAGCTCTCCTAGGACTTGACCACAATCCCAATATTCTCAGGATCCCCTAAAGACGCCGTCGATCCCACACAGCAGGAAGTAATTTAGGAACATGATGCCCACATTCCCAAGAGGTTGGGTGGGTGATCTTTGGTCACTCAGTGGGTTTGTATATTTGTCATTGTTTAGGGGGTTAGTAGCAAGTTGTTATTAGTCAGATAGGAAACTAATCAAAGGAGGTTGGATTCAAGGATCTCTTTCTGAAAGGAAAAATGGGGGTTATAGGAATGATAAGATAAAATGGTAGATTATTGAATCTACTGAAAAGCAACTACTAGTCTCAAATGTTTACATTGGTATGGGTTTTGTATATTGATACAGATTTAAGGTAATTTTTGTTATACTGTATGTATGTTTCTACTCTTATTTAAGGTATTGTACCCATACAGCTCATTTAAAAATTTAATGTAAAGTTCTAGTTCTTAAAAGCAATTATTACAAACTATTTAGGATAATTAAAAATACAAATTAAGAGGTAGTCATCTATAACAATCAGACTTGTAGTTATGTTAGGTATATTTTCAAAGTCAAACAGAGATATATTTTAGATAGAAAGTTGGTCTTCAAACACTTCAGAGTTCTACAGAATTTAAGATTTTTAATAACATAAAGCTTTTCATGATAGTGAGATATATCTGCTCCTGGCAGCACCCGTTTACTTCAGAGAAGATGATGGGCACTGAAGAACCTCTATACAGAGTTTGCATACTGCTCTTGCCTTGACTGCTGACAATATGCTGTCCAAATTGGATGTAAAGTTTATAAAGGTTGAGAGACATATAAAGTTAAATTGTTTATCTCAGAAACTATTTTAGGTCTAAAAAGATATTTTTAGGTTGTTGATACAAGTTATGATACAAAGTGATTTAGGTACAATACTTTGGACTCGCCAGGATAGGACAGATAATAGAACACTTTCTCCAAAGCTGTCAAATAAAGATGGAGTAGACATGGTGAATGTAATTCTTTCCTGATAATTGTTCTTATTGTATATAGTTTTATTGTGTTAGGAGTTAAACCCTTTCCTTTTTGTTTAGACAAAAGGGGGAAATATTGTAGGACATTTCACTGGGTCAAAGGCACCTTATGATTGGTTTAATAAAGAGCTAAATGGCTAATACCTAGGCAGGAGAGGATAGATGGGACTTCCAGTCAGAGATAGCAACTCTGGGAAGAATCTGAGAGGTGGAGATTTAGCCAGTGAGATGGAGAAAGTCGAATATACAGTATGGAGAAGAGGTAACAAGCCACGTGGCAGAATTTAGAATAATATAAATGGGTTAATTTAAGTTATAAGAGCCAGTTGGGAACAAGCCTAAGCTAAGGCCAAGCTTTCATAATTAGTAAGAAGTCTCCCTGTCATTATTTGGGAGCTGATGGTCAAAGAAAGTCTGACTACACACATGTGTATATACACTTGTACAAACACGAGCACACAGACACAATTCATATTACTGAATACATATGAAATTTCCTATCATTATTCTCTAAATTGCAGAGATTAAAACTATCTACCTAACATTGGCATTACATTAGATATCATCAATAGTCCATAAATGCTCCAAAGTATACAGGAGAAAGTCTACAGGTTCTATACAAATCCTTAGCATTTTAAATAAGGGTCTTGAACATATGCAGGTTTGTTATCTGCAGAGTGGTCCTGAGGATAGCAAGGGAGGATTAGTTAGTTATAGGATAATTTATCTTCCTAGTTTCCTGGGAGCACAGAATTTTCTGGAATAGGATGGTTGTGGGTAACTTTCTTTAGGCCTCCTGAACCAAGTGTGGTACTTTACTGGGACATCTCAAAGTCTGTGAAATATTTTTGATGATGATGATGATGATTTTATGAGCAAACAGGGATTGCTTAGAGATTTATGGAAATGGAAGGAACCAATGCTCAGTTTCTCTTATTGAGTCTGAATCTCAAATTCCTTGTTGACTACCTGGGGAGTTATAAATTGCTAGGGGTAGCTCTCCTTCCCTGCCCTTTGATTTGAATTTAACAAGAACTTCTGTGGTCTGAGAACCAGCCTACTCTAGACACTTCAGGCTCATGAAAGATGTTTTGCTGGGTCTGGCTGAGAGGCAGAAATAAAATGTTAATTTTTCTAAACTTGCTCTCATAGGCCTCCCCTAGACAAAAGGTACCAGTGTTTCCCTTTGGCACAGGGGAAGGAGTAGAAAGGATGCTGAGATGCTAATCCCAAGTTTGGAGTATCTCAGGCGATCACAGAGATACTTTGTCTTTTATGACAGTGCAGTTCCCAGCATCCCTCTGGGATGCCTTAGACTCAAATTGTCTGGGAAAAGCAAAATCAGTCACATTTGGCAAAGCTCAATGCACCAGAGCATGGGAAACACAAATTAAAATAGATACTTCTTCAGTTACTAAACTGTTTGGTTACAAGTTTGCTTGGTATAAAGAGAATCATTAGAAAAGGCAGCTCCCAAGGGATCAGCCTCCAGTTCAGGTTTGGTGAGCTTCACAGGCCTGTTCAGTCTCTTTGAGGCTTAGCATCCTCATCCTCCTAGCTCAAAGTAAAGAAATCTTTAAATAAAGCCAAGATAACAAGGGCTAGCCATTCTGAAATCACTTTCTTATTCTGCTCATAGGAATTCATAAACACTTTTCAATTCGTCAGACATGATGTTCTGTTCCTGAGATAGTGGCAATCACTTTATCACTGGCTTTTGTTTGTTAAGGGAGTCTGAGCTTTGCCTAACAAGTGCCCTTCATCTCCTGTCTAAGGTAGTAAATCAATAAGGATCAAGTTTGAGACAGGGTGAATTATTATTGCATCTGTTATTCCATAGAAATCTTTTTTTTTTCTACTATGGCAAATCTAAGAGACACATTGCCCCACTGTGAATGTCATTCTGTTTAATTCTAACATCTGTATAAAACATAAAGGTACTGATTTCGCTACATAGTCTGACATGCTTTTCCCTAAAGAGGCTAACATCTCTGGGTTTGGATCACCAATATACACAACATACTTTTGTTAATATGAATTTATACATTTCTTTGGATTATTTTGAGACTGATTAGGTTAGCCTTGAACTCCTGGTCCTCCTACTTTCGACTCCTCGGTGCTAGGATGACAGGTGTTTGCCACCTTGCCAGCTCCATTAGTGTTTTTAAACTCTATTGTATGAAACAGCACCTCCTGGCCTGAGGGGCCATTGTTCTGGACAACAGTGGGAGGTGCTGGAATTTGACCACATGTTATTCACGAGCTCATGCGATGCAGACGTGAGAACTAAAGGGCATTCGCTGCATTCTCCAACTCATGATCTTGTGAATGTGTTTGAAACCCAGAGCAGGACACTCCCATTTAATATGCGTGTTGTCCAAGATGATAGACTAGAAGGTTCCAATCATCCAAGAGGACTGAAAGGATGGGTTCCAGCCAGGACATTACAATGACTCAGCTCTTTTCCAATAATAGTACCTAGAGCTAATACTTATAGTGACATGTACTGAGTGCCAGCTGCAAGTTACACACTGTAGCTGGTAAGTTCTTATCATTCTACTCTAAGCTCTGCCCCTAGGCATTTTTGTGGGTGCTCATGAGTTGTGTGTATTTGTAGGTAGACCTACAAGACAGGGAAAATGCTACACAGAAATCAGAGTCTGCCTTCAGTGCTGACAAGATTCTCTTTTGTTCCTTGAATGTTGAAAGAATTAGCACCATGAATCCTACAAAAACTCCCTGTATCTCAGGACATGCCATTCTGTTTGTTGTGTTTGTCTGTTTTTTGAGACGGGGTTTCTTTGTGTATCTCTGGCTGTCCTGGAACTTGTTTCATAGACCAGGTTGGACTCCAACTCCCTAACATCAACCTGCCTCTGCCTCCCAAGTGCTGGAATTAAAGGCACACGACACCACTGCCTGGCCCTTACACCATGCTATTATACTGGTAAGATTTGGGGAACATGAATTGCTCAGATCTCATATACAAACAGTAGATATCTTTGACAACAATATTCTGAAATTTACTTCTAGGTCTAAGAGGAGGAGTGGAAGGATTAAAGCACACGAATGTTCCTTGTCCTCTTTAAAGTGGCTGACCTACTTGCCCCAGACGGGTGAGGTACCCAACAGAAAGTAAGCAAGAGAGCAGACAAAATGAACAAGCATAGTTCTGTGGTTTGATTTAAATAAACAACTTCTGTGGGAGAAGATGACTGTGGTCTGGGTAATGTTCATATCTATAAAACTCAAGAAAGATGAATGCAACCTGATATGCACAGAATTTTCTTGACCTGACTGTGGAATTCTGCTCTGAATTATTTTGGTCGAGAGAAACTTCTGATTGGAATCAGACATGGGCTTACCCAGCGGAGGTCATTGTCACATGGCCCTGCTCGTCCCTCTTCATCTTCATATAAAGGGAACCCTTCTCTTCGAGCCTGATAGTACTCCTTCCGAAGTTTCTGGATGCGGTCACTGTTACCAGTCATGGGACGGCCACTGTAGCACAGGAATAGATATGGTCACATGGTGAACATCAGCCTCCGAGATCCCCGTTTCCTTTCCCTGTTAAAGGGTCTGATGTCCAAATTTGAAATTTGACAATGCAATTTAAACTAGGAAAATGGTAAAATCAATAAGCAAAGAAAGGACATATCACACACACACACACACACACACACACACACACACACACATTTAACTCCAAGTATCAAGGCATCTGATTTGGGATTAATAAGTGCTTTTTGGAAATGAGAAGGTAAGATCATGTCCTGAGCTTCTAGAGCAATTAAAAAATTCACTGTGTTCTTCTTACAATCACATATGCAGTGCTTGGTTAAATTTCAATATGGGTATCCCATTCTTTCAAATGTCATTGCTTATTTGAGATCAAATCCCAGTTGTTTGACCCGAAGGTTGGATGTGACAAATGATTGGCTGGCATGCACCAGCATTCCTTTCAGTGAAACTCAAGACTTGTGTGTGTGTGTGTGTGTGTGTGTGTTAGGGGATGGGGTGCTGTCAGGATATAGGCCACTCTATGAGTGAAGGTAGACCACAGGAAAGAAAGAAGGTGAGAGATATGGCAATAAGGGAAAGATTTGGGTAGGGGAAGGTAGACAGCTCCCCAATGTTTCAGTGTGCTCCTTGTCCAAGGGTCATGTCTCTCTGTGTTACCCACTGATTCTGCTTAAGATTATAGATTGCACAGTGCCACCTTGGGCAACCAGTGGCCCCTTTATAGGTTGGGTTGATTTGTTATGATTATTTTAATATAACCAGGATTATGCTATGCTTTATAATCAGCCCAGGGAGGCAAGACAAATCAGATATATAGATCTTGACCTGCCATTGAACCTCACCGGTTCATTTAACGATTGAGTGTCCCACTGTGCCAGACCTCACATTAAGATCTGGAGATGTAAAGATGAGCGTTTCATATCCTTTCCTGGATGAATCTGCTGTGGAATAATCCTTGTGTACACTGTAAAGATTTGTACACTCGAATTAGTATAATAAAACGCTGATTGACCAGTAGCCAGGCAGGAAGTATGGGCAGGGCAATCAAACTAACGATGATGGGAAAGAGAAGGGCAAAGTGGAGAATCACCAGCCAGATGCAGTGGGCCCAGGTAATGATTGTGCCATGCTAATAAATGTAAGAGCACATGGCAAAGCATAAATAGAAATATGGGTTAATTTGAGTGTAAGAGTTACCTAGTAACAAGCCTGAGCTATTGGCTGAGCATTTACAATTTGTGTTAAGCCCTCGAATCAATTATTTGGGAAGCAGATGCCAGGAACAAATGGGCGGGAGAGAAATGTGACTACACGAACCACAATCTCGGAGGAATGAATATGACACCACTGGAAGAATCTGCACAGGGCTTACGGGAACATGAGTGCTTAAATTTTGATAGGGCAAGAGCAGGCCATGGGAGGTGATAGTGGAAGGCTCCATCGAGGAGGCGATACTCTAGTTGAAACTTATAGGAACAAAAACATTTTGCTTTGGGGATTCATTTCCCAGTCAGCACATTTGGGCAAGTAGAGGTCCCAGTTACCTTTGTTCTACCCCCCTTTACATCAGAAGATATGTGGTCCCTTCCTCATGTTATTAGTAAGTATTGATGACCTGAGTCTTGGATAAGAATCACTCTGTAGTTTATGGCTATATGGGAGGGATTGTGGGAAGAGGAACAAGGGACTATTGGATACATATGTAGAAACCCTGATGTGAAGAACCTTGCATGTCATAAAGGTCCTTAGGTATTACTGTTTAGTTTTACACTTAAATGAGACACCTTATAAAAAAAAAAGAGCTAACTCAAAACAAAGTAAAGTATTCGACAATTAAGCTAGGAAGTTATAAGAAATAAAGTTGTAAGTAAACATGTTTTCAGGACAAGGTCTTCTACTGGATGGGAAAGTAGTGGACAGTGTGCCCACAGGTTGGCTGTGTGGCTTCTCACCAGTAAGTATGCACTGGCCACTGGGCTTCACAGGTCCACTAGCGATGTCAATTGATCAACGATCAATGCTTTTGACTAAGAAAGGGCAAACCCTGAGGTTGGAGTAATGGCTCCGTACTTAAGAGGAATTTGATTCTCAGCACATATGTTTATAGCCACTTATAATTCAAACTCCATGGAATCTGCCACCCTGGGTCTATCTATGTGTGCACCTGCACTTACATGCACACAGCCATGCAGACACACATGCACACACATGATTAAAAATAATGAGAATAAATCTTAAAAAAGAGTAAGTTAAGTGCCGACAAGGGGTGACACAGACCTTCCTTTTTCCTATGTATTGAAAAATTCTTAAAATAGTTCTATTTCTCCTTCCTTTTTGTTTTTAATTTAAAAAGATAACCCTCAATACAATAAGGGACTGCTAAGCTTTCCTGGAGTGCATGCGGTGAGAGCAGCATGCTCTACTCTGAGAGCTGTCTGGCTCCTTAGTAATACAAGAGGACTGCAGGGGCTAGATCCAATGCACAGGCTTCTGCTGGTTACAGAGATGCAAGAGCAGCATTCAAACTCACCAGATGAGTTCAATCAACGTGGTGCAAACATTGCATACATAATCTATTAGTTTACCCCAAAGAAACTGAAGCATTGAATTCAAGTAGAATGAAGTCATCAGTAATAAAGGAAAACAGAAAAAGGGAAGAAAGCGACTGGTAAGGTACTGTTTTTATAAAAGGACCAAACATCACAATATTCTTCCATTTGTGGTGGGAAAAAATCACATTCAGACTATAAACTGTTCTTCCATATGCCTATAAATACGTAAATTTAAAACTATGGGTTTGATCAGCTTGCCATTCTCGAACAAGACAGTAAGGCAAGAATATAAAAGCAGTTGTTCAGCATTCAAAAAAAGTCCCTCATGGCCAACAGGAGCATGACTATGTACCTGGAAGAGAAATCTGGCCCCAGTGAAAAAGAAGAGGAAAGTCATGGAGTATCTCCATGCAAAATGTGCTGTGTCTTCTCCCAAGTGTGAAGAGTCTTATTTCCCCGTTTCTAAAAAACCTCTTTCTGCCCTTTAGTAACAACAGTATAGTTTTCCAAGTGTTTTATATGTTAGGAATCCCACATTCTAATTCATTTTTCAGTGCTTCTCAGTAGATAATACATGCTTATCACTAAACTAATAAAATGTTATATATTATAGTGTCATAAGCATAGTATTCAATTGATTCTATTTTGTGTTAAAGTTATGCAAATTTAGCAATTTGATGCTAGATTTATAGATATTTTGTAGCAATGTTATCAACCATTATAATGATAACTTACACCATAAATATATTGATGCAAACCTTTATTTCTGCTGTCTGGTCAGAGTGCACACCACAAATAAATTACACTCTTCTTTCTGAAGGACCCTAGAGGACGTTAGAATCCTTCTGAAGCCAGGACTTCAGAAAACTACCAAGCCATAGGGTAGACACTTGAATGGACTTTATTTATAATTCTAGTGTAATAGCTTTGGAAAATACTTCAAAGTCTGAAAATAATATTAAAAGATAATGTCTATTGTTCTGCTCATCTAAAGGAAGAAGAGAAGGAAATCAGGTATGGATGACTAAGAAAGTTGGTGTGACTCCAAACATTCCTGTTGACTGGAGTGACTTGTGATTGAAACCATCTATCTTCTCTATATCGTAGAGACTTGGGCCTCTAGCAGACACAAAACCATGAGGGACTTAAGGCTAGCACACAGGATTTGACTATTGAAGGTCTCACTCCTGAAGGTCCCTAGGTGCCACCAGGTCTATCATCTTGTTTTTATGGAACGTAGTAGCAGGAATTCTGGGAAACCTTCTCCCTGACATATTCAGAAGTGACATCAAGTTCTGATGAAACTCAAAGCTCTTAAAGGATTAAACATCTACACCACTACATGGAAGATTAGGCTCTCTGTATTTGTTGTTTATCGGACAATTAGAGTTTGGATCCTCTGTGTTTGTTTTTTCAACAAGGCAAGGATTATACTTGCGCATGACGACACCCAATTGAGTCTGGCCATTCTTACAAAAATAGCTGTATCTCTATGTAGGTGACCAGTAATGGTCTTAGAATATTGAATTAACTCAAGGTATATAGCAAGACGTTTATGCTAATTAGGATTTTTTGTCAATTACATAGCCTGTGTCTTTAAAGGCAGTATCTTTAAACAGGCCTTTTTTAGAACACCGCTGAGTTGGACAGAGCTTAATTTTTTTTTATTTTAGTTCATTTTTTTAAAAATTTTTTATTGAAAAAAAGAAAAAAAAAGTTCCGCCTCCTCCCAGCCTCCCATTTCCCTCCCCCTCCACCCACCCTTCTCCCCCTTCCCCCACTCCTCTCCCCTTCCCTCTCCAGTCCAAAGAGCAGTCAGGGTTCCCTGCCCTGTGGAAAGTCCAAGGTCCTCCCCACTCCGTCCAGGTCTAGGAAGGTGAACATCCATACTGGCTAGGCTCCCACAAAGCCAGAACATGAAGTAGGATCAAAACCCCGTGCTATTGTCCTTGGCTTCTCATCAGCCCTCATTGTTCGCCATGTGCAGAGAGTCTGGTCTTATCCCATGCTTTTTCAGTCACAGTCCAGCTGGCCTTGGTGAGCTCCCAATAGATCAGCCACACTGTCTCAGTGGGTGGGTGCACCCCTCATGGTCCTGACTTCCTTGCTCATGTTCTCCCTCCTTCTGCTCCTTATTGGGTCCTTGGGAGCTCAGTCCGGTGCTCCAGTGTGGGTCTCTGTCTCTATTTCCATCCATCACCAGATGAAGGTTCTATGGTGATATGCAAGATATTCGTCAGTATTGCTATAGGATAGGGTCATTTCAGGTTCCCTATTCTGAGCTGCCCAAGGAACTAACTGGGAACATCGCCTTGGGCTCCTGGGAGCCACTCTAGGTTCAAGTCTCTTGCCAACCCTAATGTGGCTCCCTTAACTAAGAATTGTGCTTCCGTGCTCCCCTATCCAACCTTCCTTTATCCCACTCAT